TTCAACCACAAATAAATACATTAAAATGAGAAAACACCTTATTGAGACGACAAAGTTATTACTAAATAGTTTATTGTCTCTAAATATGTGGCACCAGGCATGCCCGCGTACGTTGTCAATGTAGTCAGTCACTACATTTTTTTTAAATTTATAGAAAGCATGAAATATAAAGAGTTGGCTTGAGAATATTTTCTTTCCATTTCTAGTTAAGATATACAGACAACAAACGATTGATTCACTTCATACAAAGTTTTTTAATAATCAAAAAACATTCAATAACCCCAAAGCTAAAAAAAAAACAAATACAATAGTATAGTACAGAGCATTATGACATATGGGTCAGAAACTTGGACCATAAAAAGCAACCTCAGGAAGAAACTTCTAGCCACTGAAATGGACTACTGGAGACGAGCGGCGGGAATATCCAGAATGGATAAAGTCAGAAATACGATCATCAGATAAACGATGAAGGATGAAAGAACCATTCTGGAACAGATTGAGATAAAACGCCTTAAGTGATATGGGCATTTGAAAAGAATATCTGAAGGAAGACTACCCAAAGTCCACTTATGGAAAACTAGTGAAAGAAGAAGAAGAGGAAGACCTGGGATAACGAAGTGGAAAAATCCATGATGGGTCATGGTCTACGGGAAGAATGGACCTTAGATCGGATATTATGGAGAGAATCCATCCAAGGTTTAGGTTAAGGAAACCCACTATTAGTGGAAAGTCCTAATAATAAAAAAATAAAATAAAAAAATAAAATAAAAAAACAACAAAAAAACATAAAGTAGATTGGCTTTGCAGTAACCTATATGTTCTAACATAGCGTCTGTACTTTTATTACTTTAACGTAACTTTTTTATCAATTTTGTTTTCGGGGTAGTAAGTCAGTTCATTAATTTTGGACTCAAGGGGAAGACTTCAGGAAAGTTTTCTCTAAAATTGATACAACCCTTTGTTTTCCACAAACTATAGCGACACTGGTTTTCCGGCCGTCATTTTGGAATGAAAGGTCAAAGGCAATGTCGATTTCAGAGGATTATCCCGGGGTCGCCTCTGACATTCGCAAGACATGGACCCAGACCACCCGTGTTGGTTTTCTTCTATTATTTCCTCTGCCGGTTTGCTCTTATGGTAGTGATCCCGTCTTGTTTTTTTCCTATATATTTCTTAAGTAGCACGTTTCCATGGCTTGGATTTGGCTTTTGTATTAGGAAGTGAGGGATGCATAGGTTAGAATAGAGAAATAAGAATTTTTGAAGACAAAATTCTTATTTGCCTTAGAAACTTCCATCTTGTCCAGTCTGTCTCGAGGGAGTGGATGTATCTTCCAACCGTCTTGATTCTCTCCTTGATGTGTTCATCAACCCAGACGTACGTGTTGAGGTGAGGACCCAGGTATTTAAAATCCATTACCTGCTCCAGACTTTTTCCATTTAGCCAAACGATTATGTCACCACAGTCTGTCCTTCTCCTGATCCTCTTATATTGTGTTTTAGAGATGTTTATTTCCATATTTAAGGTCTTGAGCATATTATTATTTTTTTTTTTTTTTAAGTGAAAACTTCTTTAGACGCGTTTTGATTTTTTTTTTTTTTTTTTGTGAGAGTGAATTAGATTGAGCCGATTTCCGATATGTAACGTTCGGATAAAGTAGACTGGGGTAGACCAATTGAAGTGTTTTCTAATGTGGATTAAAATATCTCAAAAACAAAATAACGGAACTGGCTTGAGGGAGTGGAAGCATTTTCCAGCCGTCTTGATCCTCTCGTTGATGTCTTCATCAACCCAGAAGCACTCGCTGAAGTGAGAACCCAGGTATTTAAAATCCATTACCTGCTCCAGACCTTATTACATTTAGCTTAACGATTAAGTCACCACGGCCTCTTCTTCTCCCGATCCTCATAACTTGTGTCTTGAAGATGATGATTTCCATATTTAAGATCTTGAGCTTATTATTTTATCTATTTTTGAAGTGAAAATTTGTTTGGCGAGTTTTGCCTTTTTTTGTGGAGAGTGAATTAGATTGAGCCGTCTGATTTCCGATGTGTAACGCTCGGATAAAGTTGGCTGGGGTCGACTAATTGAAGTGTTTTTGTATATGGATTAAAATATCTCAAAAGTAAAAATCGGAACTGCGTACTGTAAGCGAAGGAATGGTTCAACATTTCATTCTCCGACCTCGCCCGAAAGATTAGAACACGCTTCCATGCGTAACATGAGCTTAATATATACGGACTCCGACATTATTATGTAAATATACATAAGCGGTTTTCATAAATGATATTGTATAGATTACAGCGAAATAAATATCAAAATTTGTTTGTATGTATGTATGTATGTATGTGTATATATATATATATATATATATATATATATATATATATATATACCCGAAATGAAATATAAATAAATATAGCGTCTATAATTTTTACTTTCACTTTCCCTTTGTCCCTGTTTCTGCTAAGAAGAGGGTGGTAAGTGAAAGTTGTGTGATTTTTGCTTTTGGGGGAGATCTTAGATTCAATACTATGTAAGGTTGTACAGTTTCTTGATTTAGGGCAGTGCTAGGAGTTTAAATATATATATAAGGAGATATATTTATATATAAAGAGAACTTTTTTTCATATTTTAGAAAAATTATCTAGGTAGGTATTATAACTAGATTGGTGGTAGATTTCATTGGTCTAAGCCAGAGACTCTAAGGTATTGTATTCTGAACACTTCTCGTTAGGAAAATGTACCATGGCATTGGTTTTATAATAAAATAACTATATTGCTACTATACTAATACGACCATTAAACTCGAAAAGGTATTCGATAGGTTTATCAAGAGGACCAAGGAAGAAATATGGCTTTATCGATGGGGACTGGAAACCCTAATTATCGGGTGAAGGACGGTTCTATCCGTTCCGGAAATGTTAAAGAACCGGAACAAAGGATCAGCTGCACCCCCTCCTTTAGGGCTGTAAAAAATAACCCTGTCATTGGGCGGTTGTGAACCGTTGGAAAGGATTTCGATGAGCATTTCATAATATTTTCGAAATATGGTGGTTAGTAAAAGGATCAAAGGTATGTGCGGTTGGGCCATCACTTAACCTTTTATGGAACGATAAATACTGCTTCATTCCAGAAATTATCCTATTCTGGACTTTTCATTAAATTAAAATATTCATAAAAATTTAAATTAAGAGAAATTAAGTATAGGAGTATATATCGTTATTTAACTATTTGTTCCCGAAAAACAACCAATTTTAGACAAAATCATGTATAACTTTGGCATGTATGTATAATTAAGCAGTGAGAACTTCGTGAATTTTTAAGAGAATACTTTATAAGTCATGTCAAGAAAGAGTTCTGATTTTATTTGTGAAGCATTTCATATCCTCACCGTCGTGAAATAAGCATGAGCGGTGAACGCAGAGATTGATAAAGGTCCAAGGTAATTCTGGCGATAAAGAGTTTTCAGAAAGAGAATAAAATAATAATAAAAATTCTGATGATGCAAACAATAATATTATTTGAAAATTGTATTTATTTTGCAACAATTCCGTCTGTTTATCAACAAGCATTGTATACCTTAAGTTTATAATACAGAAACAATATTAATACAAATCAATGTTTTTTAATTTTAATTTTGGATAAGCAAACAAATCATGGATAATAAAATACTCAGGAACATAATTCAATCAAAAGACAGATCTACAATAAATAAAAGGCAGATATTCCTGACATTTTATCGTACAAGATAACTTCAAATATTTTACTGTAATTTGTCTCCAAAAATACATCAATGACTTAATTTTTTACAAAGTATTTAGACATTTTAAAAATTATGTTTATAATTGCTTGGTTCGCTGTTCTATTTTAATTTGGTGGGTTTAATTAGTTTTATTTGTTATTTGTTAGTTAAGTTTAATTTTAGTTTGGTTGGTTTAGTTTTAGTTCAATTCTTTTGTTTTTTTTAAATAATTGCTTTATTTTTTTAATTGTTAGTTTCTAAAGAACAGCAATCAGATTAGTTGGCTCTTTATAAATCAAAAATGTTTTTAGAATTGGACTTCGCAGATCCCTATTATTATATAAAAGAATAGTCTGGCTATTCTCTGTTACCGCTTATCAGGCCTGTGGATATGATCAATTTATAAGGACAAATCTTAGTATGAAATACACATTTTTTTTTCCACGGGCTCCCGAACTATCAGACCGATGTTAATAATTTGATAAAAAGGAGTCTGTACCACGGACTATATCCAATTACATTAAGTAATTACTAATATGATAATTTGTATTTAATAATTTTAAACTATTTTCCTTAAAATATTGAGTTATCATGTTATTTTTCCAATATCAGTAGTAAAAGTGATACTTGTTTTCCTGATCAAATGGATTAGAAATATTAAATACTTTCAATAATTCAAAATTCCAAATAACTGTTTTATCCAATCAAAACTTTAAATATTTTAAGGCCTTATTTAAACGTATTCCACAATCCAATGAAGGGGTTGGTACCCCCATTGTAAAGGCTGAATGTGCCCAAAGGGTGTTCCTATCCCAGAATCAATAAACAATTAAGTCGATACCAGTTTAAAATACAATTATAAAATTACAGCATTTATAAAAAAAAACTTATTAAGCATTTAAAATAATACAATGGTGATATAACTATTGATAAAAAACATACAATTATTTAGAGTGACGTAATTACTAGAAAAAATAAAAATTGTTTTTTACTAAAAAACGATTTTTCTATTCAACAAGTCTCAATTTCAACCGTATCGTAAATTTGACTAAATCTTGGGTGATTTAATTTTTAAGATATGTCAGGATGAAATCTATAATTCAAATTGCATATATTCAAATATTCTGACTGTCCATATATACATAGTATGTATTAGATAACTCATACTTTATACATGATTAAAATAAACTGCCAATCATCAAACACATAAATATAAAAGTTAAAAAGTTGACAAGTAATCAGTGATAATACATACTCATTTCTTCGTTGAATCGCAGAATTTTCGCTTTGGGGAAAGACATCTTGACTCCTTTTCGTTGCAATCGCGTACAAAACAATAAAAAATAAAATAAAATATGATCACAGACCCGACACTACCCAAGACCCTAAATCCAACGACGACCCAAACGCGGGGAGGTTCTTCTTGCTTCTGGTTGCTTGAGGTTGCCGGCGGCTCGATGCTAACGGCTTTTTACGAACGGGCCAATGGGAGAGCTCTATTCCGAGGAGTGGGGGTATCGCGTTCTGGCCCTTTAAATCGTGGCTTGTTTACATTTGTCGTTGATCTGGTTATCTAGTTCACTGATTTTTTAGCGTTTCTTTATCTCTGATAATGGTTCTTTATAGAAACTTTTTATTTATTAATTCGTTCATGAAATAGTTGTTGAAATAGTAACAGTTGTTTGATGAATACGTTCATATGTAAAAAAATACATTGAAATTTTGTTTACGATCTCATAAACAAGAAAAAATAAAATTATTTATTTGAGGACCTTTCATTAAAAAGAGCACGTATTCATTTTTTTTTTTTTTGTCAAATAAAATGAGTGTAAGAAAACTGGCATAGGAATATAAATTTTTCATTAGAAACGTCACAAACGTACTTTTTTAATTAAAGGATTGGCACATAGTCTTTTAAAAATATATTTATATTTTATTAATAACCTCAGTGAAAGAACAACGGTCAATAATAGACCAGCATATACCTAGCGCAAAAAAAACTTTCTTCTCCCTTTTAAAGCTATCAATCTCAATTAATCCCAAAAAATCTCAAGAAATCCCAAATTAAGAGTATACAGTACTACGATAAAGACAGTTCTAATATATGGTTGTGATACCTGGACAACTAACCAGCACCCTAACGGGAGCGATCTGAAATAAGAATATTAATACATGGAGAAGAATGACCAATAAAAAATTTCTCACACAAACTGGTCAATCAATATCTCGCATATCAAAGCACAGAGGTTCAGATGGGCGGGACATGTAGCTCGTAGCAATCCACCTGGCAACCTCTAGGTAACAAATTAATAAATGCCTCAATAGAAGGCAAAAGGCCACGTGGAAGACCAAAAAGCGGATAGATAGATAGAATCAACAAAGATGTAATAGAGCTTCGTGCATATAACTGGAAAGAAATAGCCCAAGACAAGCAAAGATAGAACAGGATTGTTAAGGCGGCAAAAGATCTACATGGTCTGTAAAGCCAACGGAAAAAAAAATTATATTTTATTTTATGGGACAAAAAACTAGATGGCGGGATAATGTAAGCAGTGACTTCTGAAAGCGGGAAATAAGCATCATCATGACACAAGATAGAGAACAGTGGAAAAGGCTGGTTGAGCAGGCTAAGGACACCTATATACGTCTGTTATGCCAATAAGATTTATTTTATTTATTTATTTATTTTATAAAAGAAGAAGATTTATTTTACAAAAGCTAGGCATCAAGTTAAAATTAATAATAATAATTACCATAGGATAGCGATGTAATTTTGAGACTGTTGAACTTTGATGGTTTATACATATTTAAGTTGGACTATTTCTTTTTTTTTTTCAAGCTATTAATATTTTACATCTCAAAAACGCTTTTATTATGAATATGTTGACATAATATAGATTTAAATTTAAATGTATCTGAATTAATTTTAAATTGGCTGACTCAGGGGCAGTTTTAGATAGAAGAGGAAATATTATATTGTCTATGGGAGAAACTATAATAAATCAAATATTAAATTTTTCATATATTGAACTGTATAACATCGATTGTCGTAGGCATAGATAAGGTAATTCATTAACTTCGCTGATTTATCCATAGTCCCTGGTACAGACCCCTTTTTATCAAATTATTAACATCCGCCTGAAAGTTCGAAAATAATAGCTTCATCTCATTGTAACCTACAAATATTTTATTTACGAAAATTCTCGGAATTGGGGCGTTTTCAATCTGGAGATCTTCAAACTTTGTTTATTCAATTAGGTACTAAAAACTCGTAAATACTCATTTGCTATCCACTTGAATCGTAAGATAATTTGAATAGAAACTCGAAAAAAAAATAGACGGCCTTCAAAAATATTGAGCCGTTGTGCGAGACCTACACCCCCAAAATGTTAAATAACGAAGTTGTATAGGCCAAACGACCCAATATGTTTGTAGGCCACCTTTTTTCTTGATTTTGTGATAAAATTATCTAACAATCATAGTGGAACCCCTAATTAAATAGACAAAGTTTGCCGATCTCCAGATTGAAAACGCCTCAATTCCAAATGTTTCCGTAAATGAAATAGTTGTAAGTTACGATGAGATGTAGCTGTTCACGGAGTTTCAGGTGAATGTTAATAATTTGATAAAAAGGGGTCTGTACCAGGGACTACTATGATAATCTATTTCTTACAAGGTTTGTCAATTTATAATTTTATCCTTCCAAATGAATGATAATTTATTCGCAGGTACAGGTACTAGTAATTATTATTTTAGGCAGTTTTATTTTTTCCTCAATCGTTATTTTGGGAGAGGAAATTCTCCCTTTTCCATCTCCTGTGGATCTCCTGCTGGTATATACTGATTTAATATATATATACTTACATATTTATTGTAATTATGTTAATTTACTGATATCAGTTTATACGGTTTAAGAAAATTCATTCTTTTTTTGTAAATGACTAATTCGGTCAGGATTCCTCAAGCATTTCTTTGGACATTTGTCTTTGCTGCTTCTTTTTATGGAGCTTTGTTTATTTTAAGTTGTGGGTTCTGACTAAAACAAGATAAAAAAAAATAGTAAATAAAATAAATTGAGTTATTTTCCCATTTTCTTGTATTAGTATATTTACTTTGCGATTAAAAATGTGATGTAAAACTAAATCTCAGTCAGTTTAAATGTTGTATAAAGAAATTTAAATTTAATATGAATGATTATGTAGATGTATTTAAAAAATAATGAAATGCCATTACAATTAAGTTGTCAATATCTTTAAAATGATTTATTGAAACCGAATTTGGCTTTATTATAAAATAAAATCCTCAAATCAAAAAGGGCAAAAAGTGAAGGATAAAGAAATTAAACTTAATAAAAATTAAGAGTTTTAAACATCAATAATATCTCAATAACAAATAATTCGTTTTAGTCAGAATTAATTTTTTTAAACAGCCATGAATGACATCGGCTATTTCATTTATTTGAGTAATATAATAAGAAATTGAAACGGCATAGCCGAAGCCATAAAGAACAAAAGTTTCTAACTAATTAGTTACGTTATTTTTTATTTGTATGAGCTATATAATTCGGTTTAGATAATAATCACGACAACCATGCTTATTTTGTCATCGTTATCCTTGTATGTCGTTTTTTTGGGTAGTTAAGAATAAAAGTAATTTTTTGGATAGTTTTTTGGTGAACATAACCATTAAATAAAATTTTATTTAAAATAAAAGTTCTTTAAAATCTTTACTTGAAAAGTTGAAAGCAAAATGTTCTAGTTCCTAAATAACTGGGAAAAAAATTGAAAGTAGAGATTCCAGTCATTCCACTAGCGGATCCAGGATTTAATTTTGGGGGGGCTTCAGCCCGAAACCTTTTTTTTTTCATAAAAATAACGATAATTACTTTGGAAAAAAAGAAAGAAACTAACTACCTATATGAAATGGTGTTTATGTTATTCCTTAAGTACTTTTAAATGTAATTACACGAACAATAATACTTACTTATTACAATAATAAGAGGTATTTTTAAAATTTTTTTTCCCATAAAACATGGTTATATTTTTCGATTTTGGGGGGGTTTCAGCCCGAAAGCCCTCCCCGTAGATCCGCCCGTGAGTCATTCTGAAACTGATTAAAAATAAAAGTAAAATTTCATTTCAGGACCTGATTTTTTTTTTTTTACTTTTAATTATTAAACCTATAAAGGTAATTGAAAAGGTACCTCGCTATTATTCATGCGGGTTCAGAATAAATAAGCATTCACATGATTCTTAACAAATATTAATTATACATATTAATGAGCCGATATTAATTATATATATTTGGGAACAAATATTAAATATATACAAACTAATGAAAAAATAAGTTTTATTCTTTGTGTTCAAATTGAAATTTGAATTGAGTTGAACAAAGGAGTTTAGCATATGTTATTGTTCATAAAGTTGTATGTATTAAACATCAAAAGAAAAACAAAATCACTTGTCTAGAACCCATCCTTTCTTATTCCAGAAATATTTATTTTAAAAACATCAAATATTCTATGGGGGGAAACAGAGCAGAGGGGATATCTTATTACAAAACTTATTTTCGCTTTGACCGTAAAACTGTCAAGGAAGCTTTTTTTGTGCTTTGCCTTAAAGCCAACCATACATACACGAGGTAACTATTTTTGTTTATTGTCTATGTACATTCATCCTGATTACAAGACGATATAAGCGGCAGTAATGGTATTTAAAAATTATTATTTGTAAATCCTTTTTGTCGCCATTCGCCCAAGGTTGGGATGAGCTAACCTGGTTCCATGGAGGGGACCCTGGAAGAGGGGAGAAAAAAATGGGTCTTTGTGATCACTACGGTTCATTGTATTTATCCTTTTCTAACCTAACAGTTATTGCCAATCATTTCGTTGAGAAATTAACATTTCAATATAGTTTTAAATATTCTACATTGAAGTATAGTATTATAGTTGTAGTAAAGTATTAAGGCGGAATTCCACATAGGCAATACTGAACGACATGTTGCTTGATACTTGTCCTTAGTGCAGCCAATTGTAACCGTCCGACTATGTGACACAAAATTCAATTAATGTCGTATGCGAAATTTGTTGCCCCACATTGCATGCATGCGCTTTTTCGTACACTTGTAGCTTACGACTAAAGCTATTCCATTCAGGCAACTTCAGTTTGGTACATCATATCATTAAAAACAGTCGCGGCAGCTGCATATTTGGTAATCGCTTTGAATCATAAAAGGAAATGGAAAACACCAAGATATTGGAGAAGATTGCTAGCTATAAATCGATGGTCTAGAAATTTAATAT